TATGATTTTAATGCCTTGTGTGACTGATTCTATGAGGTTTTGTGCTCTACAAATAAACTTTGCTTGCCTAATGCCATTGTAAGTAACAGGAAGTCACAATCTACAAATTTGATTTGGCTCATGAAGCAAACATGTTGTAAAAAGTATAAAGTAAATATGAAGGCATAATCTTCACACTATATACAAGTACACACACACAATATGATTATTTTAATATTCTCAAAATACTCATCATTTACACTCACACACGTCGTACTAATGTGTGTCCAGTCCATCGGTCTCTGGCTGCGGTCTGTGACATTCATGTTGAACCGTGACAATTAGCCTGAAAACATTATGTTCTGGTCCGACAGGCGCCTAATTGGCCATCAGCGTGTGCATGTGTTTACGCGCCAAAGAGAGTGAAATGTCAGGTTAGCAAAGGTCCATTTTTTAATCTTAGTGGTTTTCATGCACGCAAAAAAAGGGGAGCATTCTTACCAGGAGGTCTCCACAGCTCTGACTTGTCACTTGATGATTGTTGGTGAGAGTTGCTGCAAGAATGTGCTCTGTGTGCACGTTGTCAGGGGTTACACTGTGATTATAGAAATTGGTCATCCTGCTCCTCTGTGTTTGTTATTATCGTATTTCCTGTGTTCAAACTGTTCTCTGATTCATTGTTGAAGAATTTCCCCCTAAAAATAGATAAATCCCAATCCTTACAGAATGTGGGTTACTTCAATCTGGAAAGACTCGAGACAAAGATTGCATCAGAATGTTTATTGTCAAGATTGCATGAATAGATAATTGAACCCAGCCGGCGCATTGATTGGGTATAATACTAATACATTTGCATTAAAACATGACATGTCCGTTAAGCTTGGTAATTAGTCCCCGGCAGGAATGTGGCACGACGTATGCAGGGGGGAGTTTACTAGAAATGATGATCTGGCAAATAAAGCTGAGTCGAAGACATGACAGGATACTCCACTGAAGAGGCGGGGATTGGGAGGAGGTGGGTTGCTGCTCGAACAGTAGCTTGAGGCTTCAGAGAAATAAGAGGCTCTGTTTAAATGCAGCCATGAGGTGATGAGCTCAGGTGAGTTACTGATTATGTTGAGCTCAGGCGCAGGCGTTCCCACATGGGAAGACATATAGGCAAGTTTATTCCTCAACATTTATATGAATGTTGTTTTGCCTTGATATGCATTTATTCATGTATGTATTTGTTTGTTTATTTGAATGGAACAGTGCACATTAATCAAAATGTGTCCATGTAAAAATGCCAGGTTTAGCCATGAAGGCTCAGCCCCATGGCAGGGGGACGTTACAGACATCAACAAATAAACAAACAGAGCAACAGCTATAAAAAGCCACATACAAACATAAAAAGCATGAAAAAGCTAAATATGGATAAAGTTGAACCTTTTCCTTTATCAGTAATAAACAGGTGACTTCACTCTTGAGTCTTTAACGTCCATAATTGAGAACAGTACATCATTTTAAACCAAACTGATTAAAACAATAACATCGCAATACCACTTGACAAGAAGAGAGTTGAGGAATGTAGCTTTAAAATGTTGGAAAAATGTCTGAATAATCAACTAAATGACCCTCTTCTTATAGTTTTGCTTTTTGCTGTATAAAGTATAAAACTTGACTTGTGTCACAACACTGTGCAGATCTGATCCTGGCTATGTTCTGCTCTGAGTGAATCCAGGACTTATTTTTGAGTGAATCCAGGGCCCGCGTCCCACTCCCCCAAATGTACTGTTCCCATATAAGAACAGAAGGAGCACTGAGCGTCTGTCTGCTCTCTGCACTTACAATCACAGCTTTCAGACGCTTTGAACAAAATCTATATTCTCTGACGTAAATGATGGGAAAACTAGACTTGTTCAGAAGTAAAAAAAATTCTGCATTTCAAGTTAAACTACAGTAAAACCAATATATGTTACAGACTTATTGCATACTAAGTAACATGTTCAAAGCCTTTTGTTATAATGTTGATGATTACAGTCTATTTTCAAAATATTACACATTTTATTTGGGTCATTACAACTGCGACCCAATCATTAACATTATAACAGATAGAGGCTTGAGACGTCTCACTTTGTGCCTAATTTGAGTTTGTTTATATGATCAGGTACAATAGATAATAGTCGTTTGAAAAGAAAATGAAGCAGGATTTTTGCAAAAAATACTTATCTCCACCCATAGTCCCTGAGCAGGTTGGTGATATAATCCCAGTAGGACAACTGAATGAGAACCCTTTTTCTGTAAAACAACCAATTTAGCCTCAATTTAAATACACACACGCACACATACACACACACACACACACACACACACACAGACACACACACACACATATTATAGTTTAAACATGAGATGATGTCAAGCAGTCAATTAATTACAAAAGACTTTTGAACAATGTTATTGTTTCAAGTTTCACCTGTATGTACATACTATTTGGCATTTATTAACCAAAAGATGCTTTTCAGCATAAACATGAACCTTTTAGGTTCAAAGTAGAATCCAGGATACTTCCTTCACAGAGCCTTGGCTTCCCACAAATATCTGTCATTTCTCCTTTACTTGTGTTTATTTATGTTATTGATTTTAGTCATCCTCCTTATCTGTCAGGGCAACACCTTTTTGTTCACATGCTTTTTAAATCTCTAAGACACTTCAAACAATAACTCTGGATGAGATGTCATAACATGCACGAGTACACTTAATTTATTTATTTATTATTTATTTATTTATTTATTTGACAGGGACAGTACAAAAAAACATTGTCACCCACAGGGAACCGATGTGAAGTACACAAGGCTTCTAGCCAAAGGCTAATTTGCAGCCCCCGTCCCTGGTTAGGCTTTTGGAGCTTGTGACGTGTGACGTTATCCTTTGTCTCCCTCTGCTGGCTTATTGTTGAATAACGACCCAGTCATATCGAACTATTATTTGACTAAATAGATCATGTTAATGGTCTTGGAGAACTACTTTTACAAAACAGTTGTCAGTCGAAAAACTATTGTCTTTGTAATAACTGCAGATACTGAGCCATTTTACTGTATAACCGTACAATAGTGAAAATTAAATTAGATATGCAATGACTCGAATTGTAATAACTTAGGATCATGTGTCAAATCCCTGAAAACTTTCGAGGGGTAGGCAATCTACTTTCTCACTGAGATTTTTAGTAATGTAAAATAACAACACAACATGGATGATACAGTTATTTATTATCATTAAACATTTGACTGAATTTTCCATTGGCTACATAAGTAACATCACAGTTGGGTACACAATGTTTTATGATGAAGTTTTTAAAGAGGGTGGACTAAGCACTTTCTTGGCTCCAACCCCCATCATGCATACAACATGAAAGATCAAGATAGGAGAGTGACTTTTAGCCATTTTGAATCGGAAATAAACAAAAAAAGTCAAAACATGTCTAAATATACGGTATCTCTACATTTCAAGATTCAGGACATCTCTCCAACTGAGAAACCCAAACCCTTGTTTTTCTATAATGCAGGACTTACATAACTCTAAATCTCTTCTCCAGTGAGTCGGGTCTCGTTAGCCAAAAGATTAGCCTTTCTGTTTCCACAAGCTTCTAATTCAATTTCTCAGCGCTGTACGACATGTCTGAAAACTAATAATGAGATTACTGTCGTCATCGCGCCCTTGAACGATTCAGGCGATGTGTTCAATGTGACTGGATTTGAGTTGAATGGGATACAAAGTTCCCTTTTTTGTGGCTGAAAGATTAGTTCCGGGTTGGACCATCAGATCAATATAAATATGTATCTGTATTGAGGTTTTTTTCACTGTTCATTATTACTTTTATTATTATTATTTTTTTAACAATAGTGATTTTAGTGATTTTTACTAGAACAATTAATTATGGAGTCATCCAAATACAGATGAGTTTTACACTTTCATAATAATTTTAGATGGATCATTCTAGATTGAAAATATTATTGGCCCCAAAGATGAGCCCTGGGGAACACCCTAGCGACTATGTATATATGCCCTGTACAGTAACTTGTTTTTTCTGGCAATGTAAAGTTTGTCCAACAGAAGATTGTGATCAACGATGTCAAACGCTTTTGTGAAATCTGTAAACATTGGTCCAGTAAGTGCTGCTTGTCAAAGACTGCAGTCAGTAGTGACGCGCAAGCTGGGTTTTATCCCTACCCACAGGTTAGGGTTAGGGCTAGCCTAATCTTACTACACATCATCATTTAATTTCGTACTAAGGTCTGGATTTTCTCCATTGAGCTCTGTTATCAGGTAAGAGGGGTTAGCTCCTTTTGCAGATCAAAACAACTGGATCTGAGTTTACTGTGATGTCTTGTACAAATCAGTGACTATCAGCATGAATATCACTTTCAGACAAAGAGGGTTTTGAAGATTTAATGCAATACATACAATACAGATTAGATATGAATTATGCAATTTGTCAAGAATAGAATGAAGAATACACTGATAGAAGATACATGGTTATGATACTGATTGATATATATATATATATGCTAAGACTAGTGAGATCAGGCTAAAATATCCATGAGTGGATGGTTGGGCCGAGGCCTGCATGTGTCTGCGGCCTTTGTAAGAGTCTAAATGTTCTTTACTTCCATTGTAAAGTTCATTAAGCCAACAGCTGTGTAGAGCAGAGCAGATCATAATTGTAATATACTACATATGACATTGTATAGGGAAATGTCATTTTAATTATCCTGCACTACACTACTGTACTAAACTACTAGCCCTAAATCACAACAGTATTATCTCAGAGGACTTCACACAACCATTGATTTAGCTAACACAGATCAGAAAATCAAAAATTTCAAACACAATTAATGCAATGATAAAAACACATTGGTATTAATTCTTTAGGGGCAAGGATGAGGGGCAGATGACCAATGTCCATAAATGATATAAATCAGCTGATATAAACTCTGGTATAAACTCTAAGGGGGGTAAACACCAGAGTTGTGAAGGACCTGTCACTCATTCACGCTCTTCACGCCAATATTCTTTCGGAACCTACACTTGGGAAGTATCCCGGCCCGGTGCAGGAACAGTAGTGGTAACACGAGGCTGCTGGGAGCCTCAAACCAACATGTGATCTGATAGAGAACGCACATCCCAAAATCATTCAGAACATTGGTTGTGTTCAACACCTTTCTCATTATGGACTCGCCAAGCCAGAGCTGGAGAGCCAAGAAGATAATCATGATGGTGTTGAAAGCTCTTTGCTTTGATCGGCTCACTCCTCCGCCCTCACCTGGACGGGGATTTTTTAATGCACACAAGACATGAATGCTGCAGAAAAGAAACATGGAAGTCGTTAAGATATGAACGATGACAAGTGGGATTATAAAGCTATCTTTGTTTATAGAATACCACAAGCAAATCCAAGCTGTGCAAATCAACCAAACTATAACAACGACCCCATTTCTCAGCTTAATCCACCGCTCTTTCCTTAAACTCAAGTAAATCACAGGGTAAATCACTGCGAGGTATCTCTCAATGCAGACAAGAATGTGGAAAGACAATAAACCAGGGAGAATGAAAGACATCACATTCACACCTGAGTAACGTACTCTGTATGAGGGGAACAGAGAACCAAAGGTCACTACAACAAAACCAAAATAACGAATCACTTCAAGGAAAAGCAAATTGTACATGAAAAAGTCAGTGTGGCTGACATGGGAGCGCTTGTTCTTTCGCCATTTTTGAAGGCCAGTGTGTAAAACAACGGCGACGAGTGGAATGAAGATAAATGTCCAGATCAGAGTGAAGGAAGGCACGATGTAAAGAGCAGTTTTAATGTCATCGCAGTGACTCTCGGTTCTGTCGGCAGAAGTGGTGTTTTCGGAAAACATGGCTGCAAAGAAAAATATGATACATGATGATACAGAAAAGATATTGTAAACATTGATGTTTGAACCCAACTTTATTGATTTACAAAACGTTTTAACTATTTCATTGGGTTTTACTATTGAAGTTCTTATAGATTGCATTCATGTGACATCACAACATTCCAAAGCGCTCATTGTTAACATTGTGGTGGAGGGCAGTGGTTCTCTTTCCAGGTAGTTTTTTCCAGCTTTTAGTTTATAGTTAATGTTTCTGTAATTCCTGGGCTATTTTAAGAATGCCCATAGTGCTGCGTGCCTTCAAAGCATGGGACTAATCACAGAACGGGGAGGGACGGCAAGACGACGATGACGCACTAAGTTCATGGGTCCACATGGATGACAGTCACTAAAAACTGTCTTTCGACCAGCTTTAAACCGTGTTTATGTTAAACTTTTCGGCACCATTGTGTAAAAATCATTTGTCTTTTCAGCGTTTCCTTCTCATCAAATCACAGTCTCTCTGCTCACGTCATTGATGCGATTGAGTATAATTATGATTACCAGAGGCAAGTACGGCAGTGCCTCATTTGCAATCACGGAAAGAAAAAAACAATAAATGGAAACATTAAAACGTCATACTAGTATAAGTCTTTCTAGTCTATTTAAATCTCAACCACGGCTTAAAATCAAACAAAGTGAGGCATGCAGTGCAGTCAATCCTGAATCCTGCAGTCTGTTCATTGCCATTCAGCCGTTGTCCCATTGTCTCCTTCATGGCGATGGGACCCCTGCATAAATGCATCCCACTACCATGGACGTCGGAACTATTTTCTGAGAGGGGGGGCGGGTTTTTGTTGGGAGAGTCGAGCGAGAGACTCATACTTGGATTACACTGAATAATAACATAGCATCTTAATTGTTAAGAAAACGAAAATTAAACAATATAGATCAAGCAAGGCACTTATCAAACGGAACATTGTTTTTTCAAAGCTGGAAAAACAAACACAATTTTGCCGTATGGCACGTGCACACTGTCAGACGCTGTAAAGGATGTAAAAAAAATACATTTTTAAAAGCTGGAACAATGGAACAATTTTAAGTAAATCGCGCTGACACTGACAGAAAAGGAACAGTTTGAAATCATATAAGAACTTTCATATTTTCCTAAAAGTGAACCTTCTCTCAATGAACTACTGATGAATTATAAAGCAGGGTAGAAACATCTCATCTATCAGGTCACTCTGCGCATTCATGCGTCAGTCTCTCCGGCGGCTTCAGTGTACTGTGTAGCCCAGTGACGTGCGGTCAGATGAGGCAGGTCAGGCCCAGCCTCACCTTTGATCATAGAAAGAAAAATAATAAAATGGATACAATAATGCTTGGTCACTATATCAAGTGATTTGTGCAGTGCATTATTTCAATGTGACTTTGCCTTATTTCATTTATTTATACCTTGAAATCGCAGATTTGACAGAGCGGCGCTGTGAGGCGAGCCTCTTTTGGGAGACGTAAAACCTGCAGCTCACAGGGAGAGGCCTGTGAGGTGCTATCAAACTGTTTTCTCTGTTTATAGCAGTTTAATTAGTTAAACAATATTTAATTTACAATCAACATGTTTACAAGATGGCTCATAAATTGTGTTTTTGAAGCAAATATGTAAGTTTGTAAGTGAGGAAAGCCTCAAGGGGCGCTTGTGAGCCCAACATTTGGCTGCATTCAATTCCATCAGAAAGCTCCTTTTTTGTTCTTCATCTGCTAAGGGCAGCTACAGGTTTGGCTAACATACATATATTACATTTTAAGATAATTTAAAATGCACTTAGGGTAATGTTATGCTTCCAATGATGATATGAATCATAAGAAAAAGAGGTGAAGGGTAAGGTTGAATTTAGAAATTGGATTTATCCGGGAGTCGGCTTCAGCGAAACACAGGAGTTTACGGAGGAGACACCCGTTTGTTTTACTTTTTAAAACTCATTGAACTTATTTCCAAACGGAGGATTACATATCTGCGCTCAAACTATTATCTGGACTTAAACATGAGACTGGTCTGAACTGAATTGGTCTGTGCTGTTCATTAATAACTAAGGTAAGGACCCTAACACACTTGGAAATGCGCTTTTTACAAACTTTAGCGTTTTGTATGTATCAAACTATGCAGACGTTAAAACATGTTCTGCTGTAGCCAAACAAATTGTGAATAAGCCTCTCTGTAGGTCTAGTTGATCTATATGATGTATAATCATATGAACTCATGATTGATCCCCCACCGCACGTCACTGGTGTAGCCAGGTCTTTAATCTGCGCAATAAGGCTGAGAAAGAGCGCTCAGAGGCCGCGACAGATATCCAGAGACAGAGCGTCATAAGCTTCTCCTCCGACAGCATGGAGCGGGTTTGGGGCTGCAAGGGGCGCAGGATAGACGCAACATCTCGAATCATGATAACTTCTCGCACACGCGGAGGGGGTGCGGCCGCACCCTCCGCACCCCTAGTTCCGACGTCTATGCCCACTACAATAAAGGACATATATTTTTTCCAGACCGTTTTTAATGAGCCCTCATCACTCTCCATGAGAAAGTCTTCATCTTCCTCTTCTGTCTTCAACACTTTCACTCTTAAACACTTTCATTCATTTTTTCAAATGGTCTTTCCAAAATTGCTTGAATCCAAAATTTGAATCTGATGAACAAAGCTGAGATTGTGGTCCCTCACATGTTTTACTGATGTACGCACACACATTTGGTCACACTAGGGGTACTTGGTCTGGGGACAACATTTGTTGGTGCACGTCCTGATACGTCATAAACCAGCTTCAAGTTCACGCTGTGTCCTGCATTTCATCACATCTAATGTCCAAACTGAAGGGAGGAAATATCTTTTAATCGCTGTCTGATAACGAGTACACCCGTGAATATTTCAAGAAAATAGACTCGATCAACCAATCCTCAGTCAATTCCAGAATCTGAGATTTCCTCTCATCCGATTGAAGATTCTTCTGTTTACTGACTCTGGATCCCAGGGGTTACATGAGATAGAAATGCACCCTGGGAATGCAACAATACAAAAAAAAAGCACAGAAAATATATCAAACCCATTAAAGCAATCTCAGCTATAAAATTAAGATTAAAACATACAACCTTTTTTTCTGAATTCCTTGGGTGTGTTCACAAACTTGGTATGGGGAAGTGTGGATGTCTAGTGTACCCTATACCTCTATACATGATATAGCTAAACACACACACACACACACACACACACACACACACACACACACACACACACACACAGACGCACACACACACACACACAAACATCTTTTTCCAACATACACTGAACTAAAAACCACAGTCAAATGATGTATGTGCGAGTGCTTCAGAGCGAGGTACCAGAATTCAAATAAGCCGTTTTACACATTCAAAACCAGCGAAGCCATTAGCACCACAACATCAGCAAGTGTGCACACAGTCAAATATGATTGATATATGGTTTATGTATTTACTTTACAACTGCCCTGATGAAGAAATTGCTGTTTAAACATATGCATTATTGTGTGTGGGTATGTTTGGTAAATTAACTTATAAACATCACAGGGAGGAATCTCATACATACCTATGAATAAATCCATTTAAAAAAATGAGAGCCAGATATTGTTCTTCAATTGCAGCTAAACAGAACCTGTATTTCAACATTATCAGAGTAGAAACAGAACGGGAATACATTACAATCCTGTGCTGACTCCCCATGTTTAGGAGCGACACGGTGGTGCAACAGCTAGAGCTTGCGTATCACGGCAAGGAGGTTCTGGGTTCGATTCCAGTCTGTGTCGTTAACATGTCACGGATGCCCAGGTGAAATTGTCCAATGTTTCAGGTGAAGTTGTCCATTGCGAAAGCCAGATCCCGTCAGGCCTTTGAAGCTGTGTGAGCTAGTCTGGTGTGTGCGTGAATGGTTGGTGGTGATCGGAGGGGCAGATGGCACATAATGCTTGCCTCGCTTCTGTCGGTTTGCCCCAGGGCAGCTGTGGCTACTAGTAATTTATCAAAACTGTGCATGGAGTGAAAGATGAATGACGTGAAGAGCACTATATAAAAACTAAATACGATTATTTCAATAGATTTTATTCAATTTCACAACACAATCCCCGCAGACAATAGATTATTTAGACACTTCTCTAAAACTAAACAGCGATATAAACAATTCATATATAGAAAATTAATATAAAGTAAAATCCAGAATAAAAACACATTGGACCAAAATAATTTGAGAAAACATTGTTGTTGGCAAGTATGAACTATTTACAGTTTGTAGCAGTGGTAATGATGACCTATGCAAAGGCCGTGTGTTTTGTGTTTGCATGAAGAAATGAATTATCAATCCTCATCCATGTCGAGGAAGCCAGGCTTAAAACAGTAATTTTTAACTTAAAAGATTTGAAAAGACTTTGACACAGATATGTTCTTTGTGGACATGAAAAGGCTGTTAGATTGATTATTTGGTAACGCTGTTTAAAACATTCCTCTTCTTAATTCTATTGCATTGCAGTTTCCCATTACGGTGCAGAAATAGCAGCGGTAAAACGAGAGTGCTCGGCAGACTGAACCACATCACTGAGAAAAATATCCCACAGGACTTCTCAATATTATCATCAGTCAGAAACAAGAAACTACAGGTGCTGAGCAGATCACCTCCAAACTTCACCAGGAGCGCTCCGGTGATCACCAAGATCATGTTCAACGTCTTCTGCTTTGACTGGCTGTTTCTGGCGCCCTCTCCTGGCCCTGGACGGATCAGCACGAACAGAATGCGAAGGTTGCAAAACATAATCATGAGAAGGCCTAAAGTCAAATGAATCACACACTGAATAAAAAAGGCGTCAAAGTCAGCACTGTGGTGTAAAAATAAAGTCTCAACAATACACTGCACCCAAACTAAAGCACAGCTGGAGTTTCGAAGCACGGCCCAAGTTTTTGATTTCATATTGAGATAAGTGACTGGGTAAACAACAGCTACGTAGCGCTCCAGGCAAGTAATGACCTGAAACGTGACAATTGCAGTAGAATTGATCAAAAGCAAAAAGATACCGGTGACTGTAATTGTGGAATTCATGAACGTCATATTTCCTGTTAAAAGACAAGACCCTAAGATGCCGATGAGTTGGATGAGCGCCATGTTGTAGGTGAAGAAGTCGGTGTGGCTGATCTGGGCTCTGCTCCTGTAGCGCTGCAGCCCCAGACAGAGGATGTAGACGCACACGGGGAAAATGAAGGGAACGTTGATCAGGTTGAAGGCGATGGCCTGGTAGTTTATGTTGGGCAGTAAGAAGCATGTTTGAAAATACTCAATGATGGTGTAGTTCATGTCTATGGATAGGAGGAAATTCAACAAAATGGTCAATGTTTTTGTGTTGTAGATAATACACAAAACAAATGTCACAGTACGGTAAAAAGAGCGATAGACACAATCCTTCAGTCGTGTGCAAAACAAGTTTAGATTCTTTTTTATTTTGGCCTATAACATTTTTTACCAAGCATAAATTGGCTCCTTTAAACTACAGTGTTGCATCACCGGGGACAGAACAGTCAGAATAAAAAGCACGCAGCACAAGATAAATGAACAATAAAATACTGAATTAACATAAAATAAAATCTCTAACTTTAGCATCACAAACAAGCAAGTCTCCAATAGCTTTAGCATAATAAGGAAGCAAATCTAAAATCTCCAACTTTAGACAATAGTTGAGAAAATGTGTAAACATAGCCATGGTACATACATGTAGTCAAAATTAGATTAGATAAGAGTAATAATTATCATCCTATATGAATTAGTATAATGGTCCCTACTATTTCAGCGAACAAATTTGGAGCAGCATCTATAATGCTGAGATTTTTTTTTAAATTTAGGTCTAGGTTAATACAAATAGCTACTAATAACAAATGTTCTTACTTGATGCTGGTGGTGCATAGCTCCGTGTTGTGACTATCGTTTAGTCGACTGCTCACTTTAAACCAATGCTTTGGAATTTGCATGAAGCACCAAACATTTATCCTCTTCTAAAACCTAAATTATGACAAATGATGCATTAAGTTCACCACATCATTCAAATGTGACCCAATAAAAACAGCAGCGCCTCCAGAATAAACTGCAGCGTTTTGATCCTGCACATTTAGATCCGTTTTTTTTTTGCGTGCGATTTTGTTTTTGGTGTTAGAGTTTTAGAGGTTCAGCCAGAGTTGGGTTTGAAGAGGGTTCAGCTGAGTAACAAGAGGGTTATACGACGCCATGATAAAGTATTCATCCCCCAAGAACCTCTGATTGGGCCCCAAATACAGACATCTCTTTATTGGATTATGTTGTGAAAGACAATAATACAATGTGGCAGGCAATAGTGAGGTGAAAGCTAAATTATACATGATTCAATACATTTCACATTTAAAAATCAAACATTGAAAAGTGTGGCTTATTATTTGCACTTGAAGTTTTCATGATGATCAAACCATGGCCGACTGTAGGTAGAGTGAGTTCAATCTATTATGATCACAGCTGTTCTGTGAAGACGTGGGATATTTGACAAGACAATATTGGCCAATAAACAACATCACAAAGTCTAAGGAACCCAGGCTTTGGTCTCCATTCTGTCTCTGTGTCCTTCACTTTCCCAGGTACAATATCAGCCTTGTCAAAATGTATGTATTTATTTGACTGTGGATGTTCTGTACCTTTGAAGATATCCATGGGTTTCATCTGCAAGTGCTCACTTACACAGATTTGGGAATGTGTATAGTTGGCATACACACAAACATACATACACAAAGGGTTAGAGCTTGAGCTTATGAACAATAGGAGCATTATTTGATGTTGAAGCAGTAGTTTATTTTCGCGAAACACCAACCGTATTCGATTCCCAACATGGGCTTGATCGTCATGCGCATGCGGCTTGAAATGGGAAACATTCAAAGCAGCATTCAGACCACAACACCTGTTCATTTGAGTGAAAAAACGAGTCTTTTTCCAGAATCATGATTGTTTATTGTGTTTAAAAATATATAGAATGTATAGAATATATAGAATAGAAATTTGTAAAGGAACAGTAAAAAAAAACCAAAGTCTAAAAGAGACCACACGCACCCTATATCTATGTCAATGTCAGATTTATTTTTAGAGCACATTTACAACAACACCAGCAGCCCAAAGTCCTTCATGTGCACACAAAAAACACATGAAATACACACAAATACATATACAAAACAGTATAGTCACAAATAGGTCTTTAGACTAGATTAAAAAAAAAAAAAACATCCCACAGTGTCTGACCTCACTGATCAGACAGAAGACAAATCAACCTTTAATTGTCACAGTGGGGAAAATTCAATGTTTTAGCGCACATAGTCAGAGCACACAGGGAGCACACACAATATACACTGTTCATAACTGCTGTTTTTCTTAGCTAGCTGTAAATGCTTTAATATCAACAAATCGATACATCTCTCGATACATACTGTAAATGACTGAAATTGCAGAATTACACATTGCACATGATTACTGTATTTACTTATTTACAGATGTATGACATGTAACAGCTCAGCAGTCCTCATTGTTCAGTCTGACAGCAGCAGAAAGGGAAGACCTACAGAACCTCACCTTCACACAGCGAGGTCGAATGGTGTCAACAACACCGGGGTGACACAGACAGAGATAGAGATAAGAGGTCTGTTAAATATACAAGAGCTAAACCATTTAAAGTAAAATTTAAAAACAAGCATCAGAATCTTAAAATCAACCCTGAATGTGACAGACGGCCAGTGAAGTTAGTATGTAATCTGTATTTGTGTACCGACAGAGTCACAAAGCGGTTTACAATTGTTATTTTTGGGCATTTGTCCTCTCACACAGAGATGGGAGCGGGGTCAGGAGGCGCATGCCAGACCTATTGTACATGTTTTTAGTGGTAGGGGAAACCGGAGCACCTGGAGGAAACCTAGGCAGACACGGGAAGAACATGCAAACTCCACTCAGAAAGACCCTGTTCTAACTGGGTTTAGAACCCAGGACTTTTTTGCTGAGAAGCGAGATCTATCCACTCAGCCGCCCAGTGAAGTAAGACCAGTCCAGGGGTAATGTGCATATTCTATTGTTATAGAGGAGACTTTGACCGATGGACGAATCTCGGATACACAAAGAGTAGTGAGATTTTAATCTCAAACCTGTGCTGAGGGTGAAGCAGCTGGGATGAGAGTCAGCACCTGCAAATCTTAGGCCAAGGTGCTCTCCCGGAAAAAATGTGCCTTGCTCTCTCCAGGTGGGTGTAGTAATCCTTCCTAAAGTGGAGGAGTTCAAGTATCTCGGAGTCTTGTTCACGAGTGAGGAAATGATGGAGCGTGAGATTGACAGGCGGATCGGTGCAGCGTGCCCAGTGATGCAGTCGATGTATCGGATCGTCGTGGTGAAGAGGGAGCTGAGCCGAAAGGCAAAGCTCTTGATTTACCGCTCAATCTTTGTTCCTTTGGGTAATATGGATACAAGCGGTCAAAATGAGCTTCCTCTGCAGAGTGGGGCTCCCTTAACCCTTGTATTATGTTAAGGGTCAATTTGACCCATTTCAGTTTTTGAGTTGATCAAAGTACTGGTTATCCTTTCTTTTTCTTGCTGAAATTTGGTGACTTTTCCTCATCTAGGGTCATGAACAGGTGTGTAAAATCTGGACACTTTGATGTGTAGTGGAATGTCTGTGCAGAGTTTGTATACAAAGATGATGTTGCGGGTCATTTTGACCCAGACGCTTTAATGTGGGTAAATAGTTGTTCAGATCCAAAAAAACATGTCTCTTTGACATTGTATGTTGATTGCCTCTGAGAGCCAGAGCCAGGTGTGTGAGGAGAGGGAACTTTTTCACACTTGTCCTTGTCACTGTTCTCATGTCATCACTTTTGCCTAGCGTACATCGGACTGGCAACTGATTATATCCGTTACCTTTGAGTTCCTGCCCCGCACACATCGACAATGTGGTGAAAACGGGCATCTCCTAGTAGCAGGCCAGTCTTGGGAATAACAGCGTGTACATCGACAGCAACTGGCCTCAACTACAGTGTGTTTTCTGACATAAACTGTAGAGGGCGCAATACACACAATACACAAATGTTGTTGGAGCGCGCACATCGGGTGATACATGTATCTCCAGATCTGAGTAAAACTAGTTGCCAAAAAGTAGAACACGGGCAACTGACTGAATCCGGAGATCGACTGTTTATCTGCAGTTGTAAGAGCGCTCACATCGACCGATTTCAACTGATCATCTCCATCATCTACTCTCAGTTGCCAAAAGCCGCCTTGCAACTAGTTGTCTCCAGTTACTCTGTCGATGTACGCTAGGCTTTAGACAAACTCAGCAAAAATGAGCTCCAGAAGGATGACATCTGAGGCGGCTTCAGATTTTTAACTGGGACAATGATGTAGAGGAAGAGATTTCAGAAACAGAGGATTTTTCAGAGACAGAGGACAATGTTATTGCTGATCCAGATTGTCAATTTTCCTACGATAAGGAGGTTTCAGAGGACGAATCTTTGGTCAAAGAAGAGGAAGGGAGGAAGAAAGGAAGGTAGGAAGGAAAGAAGGGAGACAGGAAGGAAGGAAGAGAAAAGAAGGGAATATAGAAGGATGAACAGAGAGAAGGAAAACAGGATGAGAAAAAGGAAGGAGAAAGCATGGCAGGAGAAAAGAAGGAGTGAAGAATTGTCATTTTGATCCGAGACGAGGACAAGAACATTACTGTAGACTAAATAATTCTTAAATACAGCGTTGGAATAAAAAATGTATTGTATGTCACTTTTCTAAATATTTATATAACCTAAAATAAAGTTGTTATTGGTTTAACCAGTTTTCTTGACTGTTTTGAGTGCATTTACACAGTACGGGTCAAAATGACCCGCAACATAATCAATGTAATTTTTTTCCAACATAATACAAGGGTTAAAGATAGGGTGAGGAGCTCAGTCAAACGGGAGGAGCTCGGAGTAGAGCTGCTGTGTCTTCACGTCAAGAGAAACCAGTTGAGGTGGCTTGTGTTGATCCTGGTCTGGTATTTGTCTTGGTCTGATCTGGGTCAAGGTCTGGTCCTAATCTGTTTCTAGGTTAAACAAACAGGGGTTCTTATTAGGGCAGCTTATTATTCAAACAGATGTTGAGATGTGCATTCCTTTCTCTGGTGAAAAGTAGTGACCAATTACTGACAAAGTTTGGCCTAAATAGTTGCTATATGTATGGGGTAAGGTTACTGTCAATAAAGACGTGCATGTCTAAAAAATCTTTTTTGCATATTTATTGGTATTTGTGCATAAAAATATGTTATTAATTCATGATTAAAATAATACAAACTAAAAAGACATGGAATTTCGTAATTAAGAATAAAAAAATATAAAACTGTATGTGTGATTTTGTACTTGTGAATAAGATTTTTTTTGTGTGCTTGTATTTTCTTCTTTGAGAATTTCAGCAGTGAGCAAACTGTCAATATTACGTCACTGCTCACAGACATTAACGATTGAGCCTGCGCAGAGTTGATCGTGGCAGAGGGCAATAACATTAACAATGTGGCTCAAAATCAGGTATACTACTATATTTGATCATTTTGGTCGTAAATAAATGTGCAAGAAATACTAATTCCATTAAATGTGTTCATAAGAAGATGTTTCTTGTCCCTCTCTAGAAACGTTTTTCTTGGCAGTGTTTAGTTAAGGCTAGCGTCAATGCTAGTTTTACAGCTTACCATGTTATTTTAAAACCAACATGTTTACATTCTTAGCATTTACATTTGATGAAGCCTTTGCCCCGAATCAATGTGGGTAATGTGTTGATACCAGCCCCAATCCTCCAGTGTATCTATATTTCGCGCTGTTGCCCTGAGCAATATGAAGAACACCTCTGTGCTTTACTCATCCTTGGTTGTTAGACGTAGCAGACCCTGTCCCTGTGGGCCTCAATCTTATATTTGTGAGTAAACTTGACACAAACTAGCAGTGGAGCTAACAATACTGCCAAAAAAAACTTTTCTAGAGAAGGACAAGAAACATCTTCTTATGAACACATTTGTGGAATTAATATTTCTTACACATTAATTTACGACCAAAATGATAAAATGTAGTTATATACCTGACGTCTTTGCGAAGACCAGGCCACATTAACTTGACCCCCACTAGCTTGGCAGAGGCTTTCACCCCCGGGTGAGAAAGGCCGTGGATGGTGTTGAAAACCCTGCGCCTCCAGGCTGCAGGCACCAGAGGACGAGGTTTGCCCATTGAGACGTTGCAGAGCAGCATAGCGTTGGCAGCATCAAACACAACCTCTTGCACACGGAGAGCTGTGGCGGCTGTCCGGTAACTTTGGACCTCGGGGTCCGCAACTTGGTCCGCTGCCATCTCTGCATAGTTCAGGCCCAAGTGGACAGACCCTGCCACTGCCCTAGAAAGGCAGTCCGCGACCACATTGTCCTTCCCCGCCACGTGTTGAATGTCGGTGGTGTACTCCGAGATCGCAGAGAGTTGACGTCGTTGCCGACCCGACCACGGCTCTGTCGACTTGGCCATGGCAAATGTCAGCGGCTTGGGGTCAACGAACTGTGGCCGTGAACTGTCGCCCCTCCAACAAAAAACGGAAATGACGCGGACCAGTCCACACTGTCTGTAGGTCCTTTATCCCGTAAAGCTTCCTACAGCAACCGCATGAGGTGAGCACCGCGGGGGATATGCCGGTTGTAAAAATTTACCATCCCCAAGAACTCCTGCAGGGGCTTCATGGTGTTGGGGCGCGGGAAATCAATGATCGCTTTCACCTTCGCGGGGAGTGGCACCACCCCCTGCGGAGTGACGTGGTGGCCGAGGAAGGTGATGGACGACCGGCCAAATTCACACTTGGCTGGAATGATGATGAGGCCGTGCTCTTTAAGACGCTCAAACAGTAAACGGAGGTGCGTAAGGTGGACCTCCGCTGACGCGCTGGCTACCAGGATGTCGTCCAGGTAAACGAACAAAAACGGCAGGTTCCGCAGTACATTGTCCATCAGGCACTGAAACGTCAACAACGTAAACATTCGAACAGGCCAAAGTGTGTGATGACCGCTGTCTTGGGCACGTCCCGCGGGGTAACTGGCACCTGGTGGTAACCGCGCACCAGGTCCACCTTGGAGAAAATGGTGGTGCCCGCCAGGTGGGCGGAGAAATCTTGTATGTGCGGCACCGGGTAACGGTCAGGGGCAGTGGCATTGTTCAGGCAACAAAAATCACCACAGGGGCGCCAACCCCCATCAGCCTTCGAAACCATATGCAACGGGGAGGCCCACTGGCTTTTAGAACGCCGAACTATTCCGAGCTGCTCCATGGTGGCAAACTCCTCTTTAGCAATTGCAAGCTTGGCTGAGTCCAAGCGCCGAGCTCGAGTGTAGACTGGGGGGCCCGCTGTGGTAATGTGGTGTTCCACGGCATGTTTAGCCACAGCAGACAAAAACATGGGCGTGGTGAGTTCTAGACAACGTGTCAGTTATGAAAAGCAGCTTGGAGTCATGGCCCGCGCCCATAGCCGCTATTGAGCGCCGGCCCTGGCGTTTCCCTGGGGCCGGAAACTGCATGGTTTACGGCCCTGCTTCGCCTTCACTCCAAACCTGCTGTGATAGTAGCATAGACCGCCCTCATGCTGACGGCGGGCCGCCACTGCTGCAGCCGTCACAACCGAAACAACAGCGTGCGGCTGGGTGGGGAGCAAAGCATGCACAAACTGCTGCCGATTAGCCAAAAAAACCCTGTCTGCCTCAGCAGCCAGAGCACAATAGTTTTTAGAGGAGGAGAGAGGAGAACTGGCCAAAGCAGTACGCACGGTTGCTGGGAGCTGACGTAGAAATATGTGAGTGAAAAGAAATGCGGAGTCTGCCGTGCCCATCACCGCCAGCATTTTTTCCATCAACTCAAGCCGGTACGGGCGCAGCCAGAGGAACGCTTGTGGAGTTGGGAAAAGTATGAGACAGGAGACTATGGAAGACTATTGGCACCTTAATTCAATTGTCTATTCATTTGTCAAATGGCTGTGCATTATGTTATTTTAGTATTTATTTTGTATTTGTATTTGTCAAAGTGTAATGTTATATCCAATTTTGACATTTAATGTTCTATTCCAAAAGTTCTAATGGCAATTCAATATGTAAAGTGTCGATACAATGTCTTTATATATTGCAAATTACAAGATTTTGAAATGAATAGCATATTGACATGGAAATTTGGCCTCTTTATTCATTGTTCTATTCATTCTTAACATGGCATTTAGTTTAAAGTTGTATTTGGCAAAATTGCATGTCATATCCTATTTTGACTTGTATTCCACATTTGAGTATGTTAAGTTTCATTTAATGTGTTGTGAAACAGCACCTCCCTCTGGATTGCATTGCATATTGCATATTGCATTGCCACATAAGTTCAACTTAATTCAATATGCTATGCAGTTCTTGACCCCTGGGAAGGCGGGCCCTGGTCCGCTCTCGGCCAATCAGAGACGAGTCTATATCCTCCTAGCTAGATGCGCTGTGTTGTTGATTTTTGCTGGAAGTAAATGCTGTTATGACGGATTGGAAGTAACAAATAACAGAAAAGGAGGTTCTACTTACATAGAACCTCCTTTGAGTAACTTGGAATCTTCATGAAGGGTGATCTGTTACTCTCAACCCGTATAACATTGTGGGTCACCACAACATTTCAATTTGGAGAGACGAGAAAACAAGAAGCTTTTGAGTATTTTATTGAGAGGAGGTTTGGCGCCCTAGGCCCCGGTGCGGCCTTCAGAACGGAGAGGCTCCTGCGATGGAGCGCGCCAATCCCCCGGGACCTAGGCACTGGTGGCGGCATTTGGCAGCGGGAAGCAGATTGAAGGCAGATTGGAGGCAGGGTGAAGAGGAGGAGGAGGGGAGGCGGTGGTTGCAAGGCTTCGAGAGGCCGTGAAGTGAGAGTTTCTCCGCTTTTAAGCGGCTGGCCTAGCCGGTACGGGTGATTGGAAGGGGGCGTTTGCTGTGCGATAGGCTGGGGATGCGAACCGGCCTGGAGGGGGTAACTTGGGCTGACGTCTACCAAATTGAATTTCCGCGGGCTGCATTTCAATTTGGAGAGACGAGAAAACAAGAAGCTTTTGAGTATTTTATTGAGAGGAGGTTCGGCGCCCTAGGCCCCGGTGCGGCCTTCAGATCGGAGAGGCTCCTGCGATGGAGCGCGCCAATCCCCAAAAAGGCTGAGTGTTGATGGAGTTTTGCAGCCTGGTTTGGAGGGGACAGACGTCGTGACTGCTCTATGCTGTGACCGCTATCGCTATGCTGTGACCGCTATCGCTATATGCTGTGACCGCTATCACTATATGCTGTGACCGCTATCGCTATATGCTGTGACCGCTATCGCTATATGCTGTGACCGCTATCGCTATATGCTGTGACCGCTATCGCTATATGCTATGACCGCTATCGCTATATGCTGACGACCGTTATGCGCTAACCATTTTTTGCTATATGCTGTGACCGCTAACCATTTTTTGCTATATGTTGTGACCGCTATCGCTATATGCTGTGACCGCTATCGCTATATGCTGTGACCGCTATCGCTATATGCTGTGACCGCTATCGCTATATGCTGTGACCGCTATCGCTATATGCTGTGACCGCTATCGCTATATGCTGTGACCGCTATCGCTATATACTGTGACCGCTATATACTGTGACCGCTATATACTGTGACCATTACTTGCGGATACTCAGCTGCTGCCGCCACCAGGAAGTTTTGCGAGTGTTTTATGGAGATGCCAAGAGGCGCTGGGCTGCCAGACTAGTCGAAGTGTCCGGCCTGATGTATGAGGAGAGGGCCGAAGATGACCAGCGCCCCAGCTGCTGAGGCAGAATGGGGAGACCCAGGGAAGCGGCACGCGTGGCAGCGCCTATCCGAGAGAGTGAGCTGTGTAGAGATGAGGGGACAAGTTACGAAGCAGCAGTACAGACTTGAGTTGGGCTCTGAACCAGTTGGATGTCATGGGGAGGTTATCGGGAGTGAGGAAGCGGTCCGTTGAGATCTCCTTTCCGAGAGCGGAGGCGAGTGTAATGCATCATGGATCTGTAGGGACAGGGAGAAGTGTCAGAATGAGCTATGACTATGTTGCAAGCGCCTTTGCGTTTGGAATGCTTGAGGTGGAGGTTGAAGTAGTCGGGATAATATGACAGGTCAGAGAAGGCAATGTCTCGGGATGCATTAAAGGTGGCGTGAGAGTTTGTGAATTCGCTTATGCGTAAGAAGCCCATTTTCATGTAGGATGCAGCGGAGGAGAGAAGGTGAAGAGACGGAGGGACTAGGCCGGGGCGAGGTATTCCGTGCAGGGGATCTGGCATGGCGATGGATTGGCAGAAGGGCATAGGCGTCAGAACTCCTGGAATTTAAAGCGAGAGAGAGAGTCAGCAAGACAGTTAGGTGACGAGGGACGTGACGAGCAGTGATGATAAATTGTTCAGGACTGAGAGCCATGTGATGCGTCTAAGGAGGATGTGATTTGGGGAGAGGATGAACGACCTCTGTTAATTATTTCAATGACGTCGAGGTTGTCGCACGTCACGGAAATCCTTTTCCTATGCCACGTATGGTTCCGCAGCACGCAGGCTACGGTCACGGGATATATCTCGTGGAGCGCGGAGGAGATGCTTCGAGGGAAAGCGTCGGGCCGGGGCCCGGCGAACCACTGGTCCTGGAAAAACCCCCAAAACCCACGGACGGGGCTGCGTCCGTGAAGAACCGCGGGGCATCTGAGACAGGATGACGTCACTGTAAAAAAAAGAGATACACCATCCCAGCGGCTCTGCAGACGGGACCGAAACGCCAGGTCGGAGCGGCACCCCGCGTCCAGGCAGACAGCATCGTTGAGGGAGGAGACGGAGCCGGCGAGGGAGAGGAGTCTGGAATTAAAAGAACGACCTTGGGGAATGATACGAATGGCATAATTAAGATGCCCGAGGAGGGAGAGCAAGGACGCCTCGAAGTGACGGGAAGGCCAAGGCAGACCGGGAGAAAGCGCGGATGCGTTCGAGCTTGTCCAGCGGGAGGGAGGCCTCCATGGCGCGTGTGTCGAGGCGGATGCCGAGAAACTCCAGAGCGTTGGCGGGGCCTGTGGTCTTTCCAGAGTGAAGGAATCCGAGGGCAGAGAAGGCGGGCCTGAGCTTGCGGAGAGAGCCCCCGGAGCAGTCTGAGGGTGGGTCGACTATGAGGGAATCATCGGGGAGATGCAGACAGAGGGGAGCCGCGCGTAATTAAGCAGAAACCGACACGGCGCCTCCGAGAGATTGTTGAACGAGAGGGACTACTCCGGCAGTCAAAGGTGAGGCGCACTGCGAAGAAGAACTCCGACGCCACTTGACCCCTGAACAGCGCCAGTGGTCGGGGTGGATGGCAGCAGCTCGAACGCGTCCGGGATGTCGGCCTTGGAGAGCCAGGAGCCGGGGCCGAAAGTCTTTATCAGCCTGATCGCGTGGTCCACGGTAGCGGACTGCAGGGAGAAGGGCGCTGGAGGGAAGGGGCTGTTGATGGTCGGGCGGGCCCGGAGCGGGGACAGGAGAGGACGAGTATGAGACGCTTCTTCCTGGAGTGCTTGCGGGTGGCGATGCCCATCGGGTTAGAGCGAGACGGAGAGAAGGGGCCAAAGACGTAGCCCACGGACACCTCCCGCGCCCGAGCCGCGTGCCGACTTCGGGCTTACGGAGAGCCGGGAAGAGGTTGCGGGACACGAGACGCCGAGGGACCTAAACAGAGCTTGCAGTCTAATGTGAGGGATTTAAATAGAGCTTGCAGTCCAAAGTGAGGTATTAAAACTGAGCCCGCAGTCCAAGTGAGGCGTTTAACTGAGAACCTGTAGTCCGAGGTGAGGGATTAAACTGAGAGCTTGAAGTCCAGAGTGAGGGATTCAACATTGCCCGCAGTCCTAAAAGAGGGATTTATAACTGAGAGCTTGTAGTCCAAGTGGGGGATTAAACCGAGAGCTGCAGTCCAGTGTGAGGGATTTAAACAGGTTTTACGGTCCAAGTGAGGGATTAACTGAGCCCGCAGTCCAAGTGAGGAGTTTAAACTGAAAGCTTACAGTCCAGTGTGAGGGATCCAACAGAGCCTGCAGTTTTTTATTTTTATTTATTTATTTAGTTATATTTAGTTATATTTATTTATATTTATTTATATTTATTTATTTTTATATATAAGCGTTCCAGATATAAGCAGTACCATATATGCAGTTCCAATATGAGCAGTTCCATATATAAGCAGTTCCAT